ATTAAACAAACTGTGACAGCCGCTGGCTCACGTCTGCCTCTGCTCTCCGCGTCTCCGCGGCCGCTCGGAGCCTCCCAGGGCTAGCTTGGACGTCCGTGCCAGCCGTTTGCAGATGCTGCGTTTCACCCGGAAGGCCAGTTCCCGGCCTCTCCGGAAGCCTGATCACCGGCCACTCCATCGGGGTGCCCACGCTTCCAGGGACACGAGCGACCCTGGCCACCGACGGCCCTGCCCGGCCCGTTCTGCTGCTGCAAATACTGTGCGGGCACCGTGGGCCAGGCCTGGAGCAGGCAAAGGGGTACAGAGAATGGGGAGCAGACCCAGCCTGCAGAGTCCGACCTGGGAGAGGGAGGCAGGTGCCAGAGTGTCCAGGAAAGAGAGGGTTGGGTGTGGGGAAGACCATGCAAAGGAAATAACGGGAAGCCCAAGGTTGGGCACCCGCGGGGGTATTTGGAAGGAGCCTGTTTTGGGAGCTGCTGGTAGTTAGAATCTTCCCCATGGCCTGCAGAGCTGCCCGTTGGCCACCAGAGGGCGCACCAGCACCGCTGTCCCTCTCGCGGCGGCTTTCCCTGTGCCTACTGCTTACCTGCGCCTTAGGGTTCGGCGCATTTGAAACCTAAAGGAGCAGCCTGGCTCTGGTTCGGAGGTCTGGCTGCTCGCCTCTTACCCGCTCTGTGAAGGGCTGTGTATGGAGTGACCCTGGCCCGCTTCTCCCTGGGCTGTGGGTGAAGGAGGGGCTGGGCCAGTTCAGAGGTCTCAAACGTCTGCCCTCGGGATCTGTTAGGGTATGTGAGTGAACCAAGTAGGCCGTGGGTTGTGAGGCCTCACCTTGACCTTCCCCCGTCCCTGCAGAGACAGAAGCAGAGACGTCCAGAAACGTGTGAATTGTCTGGGTGATAATGACAACTCGCCTTGAGGGCATGGTGGGGACTGTGGCAAAGCATAGAACCCCTGGAGGTGGCAGTGGCCTTAACTAACTCATTGCCATGATGCGAGAATGCGCACCCAATGTCCAAGATGTGGGGGGACCAGAAACCTTGCTTTTCATATTTACTATTCTGATTTCTAAGGTTATTAGCAATGAATTAAAAAATCTGCAAGCCAAACCAGAAGATCCCTCGGGGATGGTCCCTCTAGGGCCCTGGCTGCTCTGCCGTGCAGGGTTGCTGGGATCTGCCGCTGGGCGGGCAGGGTATGGGGCACGCACCCTCATCACAGCCTCCCGGCAGGCTGCAGGCTGGACGGTATCTGGGGTCCCCAGCAGCACTCTCCCTGGGCGGGTCGACTTGCTACAGTAAGTGCAGCTCGCGACAGCGTGCGTGTGTCCTGCATTTTCTAATTTTAAATAAATTCACTTCGTTCCCGTCAAACCTCACAGCAGCCTTGAGAGGTGTCGTTCTTTTCTTGCTGAGGAAACAGACCTAGGAGGGGGGTTGCCCTGAAAGCCAGGAGGAGCCGTGCAGACCCAAGCCTCTGGCTAGGGTCTCACACTATCCTGCCTTCCTGGACACTGGCCGAAGCCTGTGTGTCCGAGGGATCAGCGTGTGAGGGTGGGGACAGAGCAGCCGGGCAGGCTGGGGCACTGTTCAGGTGCTGGAGGGGGAAGGAGGGCCAGGCTCCGCCATGCTGCCTTCTCGGGGGACGCAGGAACAAAGAGGTGCAGTGTGGTTTGGGGTTGGTGCTCTGAAGAGAGTGACGCCAGGAGCCCAGGAGGGGCACCGTGTCTGGGAACTCGGGGACGGTGGTCCAGGCTTTGGCGCCAGCTCCTGCAGTGGCCCTGAAGACGGTGAGCGTGGTGTGAGGGCCTGGAGAGCCGGGACGGCGACGGGCAGAGGGCGTGCGCCGGCAAGGTGGCGGGTGTGTTTGGGAACAGGATCGATTACATGGGACGAAAGGACCAGTTGGAGTGACTGCGGCCCTGGGTGGGGACCCAGGTTCTCCAAAGCTCTGTTCTGGTACTGGGCCGTCATTCCATCCACACACCATAGTTACTTCTTCATCCATCCATCCACATACCTGCCCAGCTGCCTGTCCCTCTACCCAACCACTCACCCACCCACCCATCCACCTGCCCAGCCATCCGCCCAGCCACCCAGCCACCCACCTACCCAGCCACCCATCCACCCATCTACCCACCCATCCACCCAGCCATCCACCTGCCCAGCCACCCACTCACCCATCTACCCACCCATCCACCCGCCCATCCACCCATCCACCCACCTAGTCATCCACCCACTCACCCACCCACCTACCTAGCAATCCACTACTCACCCACCCATCCTCCCACCCATCTACCCAGCCATCCTTCCACTCACCCACCCATCCACCCATCCAGCTGTCCACTCACCCCTCTACCCAGCCATCCTCCAATGCACCCACCCATCCACACACACCCAGCCATCCACCCACTCACCCACCCAGCCATCCACCTACCCAGCCATCCACCCTCCCATCTACCCACCATCCTCCCACTCACCCAGCAATCACCCACCCCCACCCACCCATCTACCCACCCATCCATCCACCCAGTCATTGACCCACTCACCCACCCACCCAGCCATCCAGCACCCAGCCATCTACCTTCCCATCTACCCAGCCATTTTCCCACTCACCCACCCATCCACCCACCCAGACATCCACCCACTCACCCACCCACCTACCCAGACATCCACCCATTCATCTCTCCAGTCATCCTCCCACTCACCCTCCCATCCACCCACTTGGCCACCCACCCACTCACCTAGTCATCTACCCACTCACGCACCCACTCATTCACCCATCCATCCATCTACTCATCCATTCATTCACCCATCTGACACACCCACACATCCACCCATCAATCCACCCAGTCATGTACCCGGCCATTTACCCACTCACCCATCCATCCACCCATCTACCCACTCATCCACCCAGTCATTTACTCAGCCATCCACCCAGCCAAAACACCCTCGCCCACCATCCCTCCACCTACGCATCACCCATCTGTCCACTCAGCCACCCTCCATCTGTATTCACTCACCCATCTGTTGTCACCCCTTAGGTCCTGACTGGTGGCTGGGGTTACCTCAGACTCTCCTAGCCTTCCGGGGGCCCAGAGTCGCGGTGGCGTACAGGAAGCCGTGGCGACAAGCACATGGTGATTGCTGTTAGGTGGGGCTTGGACTGGTGAGAGACAGGTTTCTTGTGCCCAAAGTAGAATTTGAAGCAGTTCTTTGTACCAAGAGGCCCTTATACACAGATGCAAAAAAAACACAGAGTGGGAACCAGCAGTTAGCGTAATGGCTATGTCGCTGGACTCCCACGTAGTCGACCGCGGTTCACGTCCCGGACCCGGTGGCTTAAAACTCACGCCGGGCGCGTGTGCGTGAGTGCCCAAGATCCTGAGAGGAGAATGGAGGAGAAGGGATTGTGGCGTGACCATCCCCCCTGGGGGGTGATTTCTCGCTTTCTGTCTCTATGTCTCTCTCTGTCTGGCGAGCGCACGCGCCCTACAGTGAAAATCTCTCCCCCCCCCCCAAAAAAAAAACCCCCCCAGCGGTTTCTGTTCCTCAGTAAGCTTTGGGTGATCACTGGGGAACCTTTTCCCTTCCTCACTTCCAGTGCATCCCTCCATCTACTGTAATGTGGATTCCACCTCAGCCACTCCATTGGGGCAGCACTCATTTGGTCACCCATGCCCTGATTGCCAAATTCAATAGTCACTTCTAATTTCCCCTCTTACCAGAACTCTGCTATTAACAAGATCATTTCTGCCCTCTGGACATGCTCTATTTCTTACGCTTCTGACATTCCTCTCTCCTTATTCTCCCTGGATATCTCTGACTGCTTTTTCTTTACTTTTTGTAGGTTCTTTATTTTCCTTCAACATTTCTCTTTTTTATATTCTTAAAGTTTATTTACTGATCTTTTCCATGAGTAAGAGAGAGAGAGAAAAAGAGAGACAGAGATAGAGAGACAGCACCCCAATGACCTAACCCCAGCTTTAACCAACCTCAGATGATGTGCACATGTGTGCTTA